ACAGTCCATATCCAACTTTCAGCAGGTCCTAAAAGTCCTGCTTCCCAAATATATCCAGATTCCAACTACTTTTCACCATCTCTACCACAATGTCCCTGATCCAAGACATTACATAATCTTCTATTTGGATTATTGGAATGGCCTCCTAATTGGTCTATTTGCTTATACACTTGCCCCATTCAGTCTATTCTTAATAAAACATCCAGAATTATTCTTAAAAATTTAAGTCACATTATGGCATTCCTTTGCTCAAAACCCTCCAGTGGCTCCACATCTCAACTTCTTGTGGTGGCTTACAATGCTCTATACGATTACCCGCTAACTTTTGACCTCCTATCTCAACACTCTCTTCCTCTCACCTGGCACCAGTCACACCAGCCTTCTTGCCAGGCTGCACCTACTTTGGAATGACTGTACTCACTATCCCCTCTACTTGGAACACTATAAAACTATCCCTTGAAGATTACAGTAGCTTGTTCTACTATCTCATGAAACTTTGCATTGGGGCCTTATGCTGGAAAGGACCTCAGTGAAGCCTTTTCTGGTCATCCCATCTAAAATTTCAGGTCCCCTCCCCTCAACACACTCTTTACCCTCTTTTTCTGCTTTTACTGTACAGCACTCATCAGCATCAGACATTATTTACTTGTTCATGTGTTTATTTGGTTACTCCTTGTTCTATTGTGAATTCCATGAACAAGGGATATTTGTTTTGTTCACTGTTTATACTTCCAGTGCCTAGAACAACACTGGGATATAAAAAGGTCTCAAGTGTAAGTTAAATGAACGAATGGCTGGGTATTTCATAGGGATAATGAAATGCCCAGGATTATAACAGAATTTAGAGCAGGGAGGGAGACCACTCTCGAAGCTGCGATGTTCAAATATAGGAACACGTCTGCAATAGCACTGTAAACGTAATGAGGTGTACAAAGGATCAGTACGGTGTTTTATTCCTCTGGGAAGCTCGGCCAGGCCCGCACTCTTCCTTCCTTTTCCCGTGCTTCCCTCAGCTGGGAACGCTGCCGCCCAGTTAGTAATCCAGGCCAGTATATCCCTTTCTTGGAGGATTTGGCACAGTTTCAGGGCTGGGACTCGCGCTGCGCGTCAGCCGGCCCCTCAGCCCGCCCCGCCTAGGTTGGAACATTACCCAGCGGCCCCTCTCACCCACCCCGTTTCCGCCCGGTTCCTCGCGCCTTCACAAGACCCGCCCCCCCAGCCAGACAGGAAACGAAAGTGACGAATTCCGGAGCCCTAAACCCGCCCCTCACGCCTTCCCAGCTCTCAGGCGGTGAAGCCAGCCCGGAAGGGGCGGGTACAGGGAGGCAGAGGGGCGGGGCGGGACGGCCCACCTAAAAGTGGCGGTTTGGCCGCGGTGGTTACCTTAGTATCCGGAGTAGTTTGTGTCTAACGAGCTGCAGGCGGAAACCCAACCAGGGCTATCTCAGCGGGAGTGGGACCCTGAGGCCTCAAACAGGCTCTTATATGTCCTCGTTCAGCGCTTCCCCCACAATCGGATACGGATTATTCGGACTCTGCCTCAGACCCGGGTTCCCACTCCCGCCCTTCCAGCCCGGTTTCTCTCTGGCTGCTACGGCCCTCCCTGGCCCACCTCGCTGGGTACAGTTTCTGTTCTCTCAGTCAGATCCTTTGGTCTCTCCCTTCTCATCCCTGTTCCTTCCAGTAGGCAATCTTGAAGCCTTTTCTTCCCACTTCTCTTCCCTTCTTTCCTCATTCTCTCCCTTTCCTCCAGGATCCTCGTTCTTCCGCGCCCCGTAAGGCTGCTGCCTCCTCCAAGCCTTCTCAGCTTTTCAGGGGACTGTGGCTCATGTGTTAGGAGGTTAAGCTTTTAACGCGGTCGTTTGAAGATTTTCAGCTTTTTCTTTCCCCCTAACCAGGAGTCACAGATGCCAGGAAGAATGGCCCCCATCAAGAAGTCTCCAAATACCACAAGGTTGCCTCTGGCATTAAACCCCCTGAAGAGCAAAGACGTGTTGGCAGTGCTGGCTGAGAGGAACCAGGCTATAGTACCAGTTGGGGCATGGGTGGAACCTGCCTCACCACATAGTTCAGAAATACCAGCATATGTGAGTGTCAGATTGAACCAAAATGGTGGGGTTCCTACCCCATTTTTTTTTTTTAAAGCCTTCTCTGGTGCTTAGATAAAGATGAACAGTCTGGAGCTACAGTTTCTATTCTGTCATAAGTAGATATATTCTTGCATTAGGATTTTGGAACCAATACATATGTATTTGCCAAAACTTTCATACGTAGCATTGCTTGCTATGCACAAGCCGTAGGCACTGACTGTCTCTACCTTCCAGATATTCTACAGTGTAGTCAGGATGACAGTTGGCCACATTTCATGTAACGTTAATTGAACGCTTAAAGTTTTTGATAAGTTTGGTAATGGAGATTCAGGCAAAGTGGAGTAAAAGAATAAAGGAAGAAGAGATNGGTTCCTAAGACCATTGAAAATATGTGTTTTCCGATGGTCTTAGGCGACCCCTGTGAAAGGGGTTGCAACCCACAGGTTGAGAACCGCTGACTTAGGAGGTGTCATAGTTTGTGTTCTCCAGGAAGCAGAGCCTGAGACAGTTTCATGTTCAGTATGTTTATCAGGGTATGTGCTTGAGACTGATACCCGTGGAAGGAAGGAAGAGGAAGGTGGAGTGGGCAGAGAGAGAAGCTCAACTGTGATACTGGCCGGACAGCCTCAATCAACTCCACAGGGAACTCTGAAGCTGAAATGAAGGCCCATTCGAGTTATTCCAAGTTAGGTAGAAATGGCTGGGCCTTTATATGCCCATGTCCTCAGTCACTGGATGTGGCTGCTCCTCTAAGGGAGGGCGAGGCAGCTCTCTGCAGCTGAGGCAGTCCCGAAAGGAGCAGACAGCCCAAGGGACCACAACACTCCCAATAGCTGGACCAACAAGTTCTTCTTTGAAGAGGGATCTGGGCAGTGTATCTTGCTGTCTATCCTATTTGGTAATGTGGAGAAACACTGAGACTCCTATGTTAATTTTTTTTATCACCCACTAAGACAAAGGAGAAGACTTCTGCATCCATGATAAAATTAGAGAATCTTTTGCAAAGATCAGTACAGCAGATGTTGTTGAGACAACTGGGCTTAACTGGAGCAATCTGTGATTGGTGCCATTTACAATGAAATGCTGCTGCAAAGACTCGGTCTGCATAGGTGAGCAGAAGAACCCTCAGCAAGGAGGGGAAAGAACCAAGGACAGTGCCAAGGGCTTTAGTTAGCCCTGGAAATTCTGCTCAAACTTGGAAGAGAATGAAAGTGGGCGTGACTCAGCTGCCTGAAGTTTAGTTCCCAACATTCAGATCCGGTGAGAGTGGAAATAAGAAGATTTCAACTTCTACAGAGGTTCTCCTTAGGATAGGCCCTCAGGACTAACAGGTGATTAAATTTTCTAATTTGTTACAGGTGTGGATCAGTCAGTCACAAATAGATAGTGGTGGCCAAACAGCAAATTGCCCTGTGGTACTCATTAAACAGGAGGGGACTACTGCCAAGGGCCCATGACTTGGGTCTTTGTGCAGAGGTGGCCAGGGAACCCCCAATCACATATATCAGAGATTACCCTGCTCTGATGAGGAGTGCCCTGGAACAGGGCCTCAAGATTTCGGTGACAGCAACACCCATTCTTCTATATTTCTGAAGAAGACAGACATTTCCAAGCAAACAGTTCCCTTGCTAAGAAACCAACTCTGGCCCCATAGAAGATAAGCCTCGTGAAAAGGTCAGAAAAGGGGGTCTGATACTAAGATGTGAGCTCTCTGGACATAACAAGAGTATAGATTCATATGAAACCACTGGCATAGTTGCTAGTGGGAGGCATAGACCTTGACCTTGAGGTAGAAGGTTAGAGAGAGCAAGGAGCTACCTAATAACACTTCTTCCCAGTGTTGGGGTGTGTGTGTGTGTGTGTGTGTGTGTGTGTAAATATACAAATCAATTTCCCTCTGGCCCTCTCACAAGGAGGTAGTTTTCTATTCCTTGCCACTCTGGGTGGAGGTGAGATGGGTTTCCTCTTGCTACTTGGTTGCTCAGTGCTATTTATAAACCATTTCCCTCCTTTTTCTGAGCTTCACCCCTCGCTTGGAATCTAATGTTGTTAGACTATACCACTCACTGCTTTCCAAGTTGTACTCATCTACCAATGTCCAGAACTTTTCCTGAAATTCCTTGAAGATTTTTTTCCTGGCTCTTGCCAACACCATTCTTCTCATATATTTTAGTGATTTCAATAACCTCAGGTATAATCTATCCAATGCTCTGATCCTTCCTTTCTATGACCTTTTCTTCTCCAGTGATCTTGTTCTTTAACCTGCCTCAGCACTCCCTCCTTTAGTCGAACCATAGACTTGGACAGTACCAATATTTACAGCCCCTGCATACTCTCAGTTTCAAGCATCCACTCTGAGATCACACTTCTTATCTTTTAGTGCATTATTTCTAGTATCCTGTTCTAACAAACCTTCACCCCATTCCCCCCAGTGGAACCTACAATCTCTTGATCCTACCAACTTTAACTTTACAATGTTCCTTACCTCCCATATGCCCTCTCTTCCCACATTACCTATCTTAAATTCCTTGGTCAGTTATTTAATTGCTCCCTTGCATTGATCTTCAACACTCTTGCCCTTTCTTGCTTGATAGTAATATTTTGGCAAAACCTCAACCTTGGTTAAAATTAAATACTCCACCTACTTCATGCCTATATCTATGCAACTAAAGAAAAACACAAAACCACGCTGACTGGTCTCACTTTAAATTCATAATTATGAACCTCACATGGGTCCTTAAGGCTATCTGGCAATTGTATGTCTCTAGTTCATACTTCCCCTCTTCTGGACAACTATTTTATACCTTATCTTCCTTCCTCAAACCTCCAATATCTTTTCATCTGCTTTATTTATTGATGATCTTGCTTCTTATTTGTATTAGTTATCTTTTGCTGTGTAACAAATTACCCCCAAATTTAGCATCTTAATAATAATAAACATTATCTCACACAGTTTCTGGCTGGCTAGTTTGACTCAGGGTCTTTAATAAGTTTGGCCAAGACCATAGTCTCTGAAGACTTAATTGAGGCTGAAGGATCCACTTTTAAGATCATTCACAGGTCTGTTGGCTCGAGGTTTCAGTTTTTTGCCTTTTTATAAGGCTGTTTGTGACATAAATGGCTTCCCCCAGAGCAAGTGATCTGAGAGAGAACGGGAGTGAGAGCAAGAGAGAAAGAGAGGGAGGCACAGCATGTTTTATCACCTAACCTCTGAAGTGACATAGCATCACTTCTGCCATATTCTACTGATCACACAGAATAATCTGGGTACAGTGTGAGAGAAGACTACACAAGGGTGTGAATACCAGGGAGTGAGGATCATTAGAGGCCATCTTGTAGGCTAGCTACCATACAGAAAAAATAGAGCGATCAGAAAAGAACTTCCACAAGTTCCTGCTACCATAGTATCCAATTACCAGCATATATTCTACTTACACTGCTATTGTTATGAAGAGCTGTCCCTCTTGCTGTCTAAGGCCAATATCTCTACCTGTTCACTAGATCTTATTTCCTCTTGCTGCTTAAGGACATAGTATATGCAAAAATTCTCCCATCTCTCTCCTGCATCATCAGTTTTCTCCTGTTTACTAGATAATTCCCATCATCATCATCATCATCAACAACAACAAAAAATGTGTGCTGCAGTCTTAAAGAAAAGAACACTCCCATGATCCTATCTCTCCTTTCAGCTACCTATTTCTCTATGTCCCTTTACAACAAAACTCATTGAAAGAGTTATCTAAAATTGCTGTCTCCAATTCCTCCTCTCCTCTCTCTTAGATCTACCCCACCAGTCTTTTGCTCTCCAACTACTCCAAAAACA